AATCAACAACCAAGGGCTTGCATAACCCTGTGGCTTGCAGAGCTCCCCAGCTCTGGGGAGGAAGAGCAGGAGGGCCCCTCAGCATTCCCATTCTTTGCAGTTTTCTCCACACCGGCTGCAGACACCAGGCCCTGTTGTGATGGGTTGAATGGGGTTCCTAGAAGGGCAAGCTGCCACCACGCCCTTAAGGTGAGGCTCTGATCTGAGGAGAGTATACGCTAACCCTGCCACACTAATATTAACATACGAACGCAGCCCTTTGTCACCAGAGTTTCATCTAAGAAAGAAAATGTGCAAAATAAGCCTGTGAAATACAAATGCGGGAGGTGAGTACTACGAAAATGTCCTGCAAAAGGCCACATACCTCGTGGCCTGACGCTTTGGGGGCTTTCCCCTCGCTCCGTGGCCTCTCCTTGTCTTGGGAATGCTTTCACCGACCTTTTAGACATCCTCACTTTTTCTGACATCCCTCCTCCCCCACTGCCAATGCTGGACACAGAGACTCCCTCGGATCTTAAGAAGGCATGGATTTCTCTATTTTCCACCATCTTCCTCCTAGCGACTTCAGAGTCACAGCTTGCCTGCCCAGCTGTTTCCCTCTCGACTCTAATAAAATGAGGTACTTTAGCTTCCTTCTGAGTCTGTTTTTAAAAATTTCTACTTATTGTGTGTGCACGTGTGTGCGTGTGCGTGGGTGCTGCATTCATGTTTAAATGTACGCCACGGTTCAGGGGCGGAAGTCAAAGGGCACCTTGCAGGAGTTAGTTCTTTCTTCCATCACGCAGGTCCCAGCATCAAACTGAGGATGGCAGGTGGCGAGCGTCTTTTAACTGCTGAGCCATCTTGCTGGCTCCCAGAGTCCATTTAAAATTCTTTTATTCATGTGACTAACAGCCCATGAGAGGGAACCCTGAGTTCCCCTGTAAGAGTCTCATTTCACTAGTGTCAGCTGCATCCACAAAGTCACTGCCTTAGCACCCAGCAGGTTGGAGGCCATTGGAGTAAATGGTTAAAGCATTTATGTGGCTAAGGCCAAGGCTTGGCAAGGAGCTTTGCCGTGCAGTACAGATCAACTTCTCTGGAGACTAAGAGAGAAGACTCCGGAGGTTCTGATTAACATGTTAACACGTATCTCCATGCCAGCAATATCCCCTCCCCTTACCATTAGCATGCATGCAAAAAAAATTAATTAATCCTGATGGTTCCATGAATAGAGGATAACTGTGAACTGAGCTGAGTCTGTTAGAAACAATAAAACCAAACATTGCCCGAAAAACACACCAACAGAACTGTCTCCAGTGTGATGATCTTCAATGACCACAGAAGCTAAATACACAGGTTCGTGGGGCTGGCTCAGACACCACTCCTGTCAGTGATTTCATCAGAGCTTACAGATTATTCCTAAAGCACACGCAGAAGATCCAACCCTTGGCTCTGGAAGTGACACTGTTTCTTAGGAACATGACTGAAAGCACACGATGCCGTTTTCTGCCCTGTGCCAATCTATCTGTGATAGTGCAGGGAAAGCTTAGACTAGAGGACTGAAGAGGCTTCAGTATTCTGCCTAAGGAAAGGGAGCAGGTGCTTTCTGTTGAAGGTCCTTCCAAAGAAGGTTCCACGTCCACAATTCTAACACATTTAGCTCTTCTGAGTGATTCACCGTGTAAGAGGCTGAAGTCACAGCCCCCTTAGGGTACGCCTTACCCGCACCCTCCAGAGCCACCTGTCTTCCAAGCCTTGATCTCTGAAAAGAGAAGTGGGCTGTTGGGGTGTGATGGAGAAGGGCTGGGGTGGGGAGTCGGAAGGCCAGCTAGTCCAGGGCCTGCCTTTTTAGGTTTCAGGTGGCAAACGTTCCAGTAAACGCGTCAGCGTCTGCAGTCAGGCACATCTGACCCTAAGAGTCAGGCTGGCCGACAGGGAGGGCTCCGAGGGTTCTCCATGTCATTCTGTCTGGGTAACATCTGGTTGGCTGGTCTCTTCTGGGGAAATGTACCGACGTGCCTCTGAAATTATGTCATCTGACCTTATGGGGTGCAGGACCTCCTCACTAGCTCAAGTTCAGGTGCTGGCAGGTCCAGGGGGGTATCAGAAGTGAATCTGTCCTTAGTTTCTTCCTCCTTACACTCACTGGCTTCTCCTTTCTACTATAAACTTTGGTTTTACTGTTTTCCCTCCATAACATTTGAGTCAAAAAACCTTTGTAGCTTTGCCATGGTCTGTAGGACCTAAGTGAAACACAGAGTTGACTGCCAAGAAGGATGGGAAAGTATGGTGTGAGGATGAGGGGACTGACTGCTAGGTGCTAGCCTTGAATTTCAAGATTTCGTTGACTCTTTATTCTGGGTAATCCATTTCTGTAAGCCGAAGTTCCGCGTTTATGAGTGTGTATACATACACATGGTCAGCCCCCAGGGATAAAGTCTGAAGATAACCACAGATCTGAAGAAAAGATGCTACTAGTTCCAATGGGAATCTGCTGGCTGCGCTTCCCGGCCTGCTTTCTAGGAACAATAAAAAACGAGAAGCAAGAGAAGCAGAGGTGGGGGACTAATCCAGCGCTTCCCACGGGACTGCAGGCTGGTCAGTCCCTGTCCTGTTCTGACGGGCCTAATAATGCCTGGTCCTCTTCTCAGTACAGTGCCTGGGTGGAGGCCGGTCCTCCTCCCCTGCCTTTTCTCACATGCCCACCGTCAGACACGCAACTCCATGACATTGGCCCAGCAGCCTCTCCGGGAACCGGAGCAGCCTCACTGCACACTTCCTCTCATCTGAGCGAGGCAGGGGCAGTTTCCGGCACGCCATGCAGACTTTGGTAGAAACTATCACCGTTCTTGGCAAACTCCTTCGCTGGGTTTGGAGAGGTGTGGCTTTCCTCCATTAAGGACTCCATCGTGCGGTTGAGCCTCTGCCCCTGCTCCACTTGGGGGCTGAGCAAAAGGTGGCAAGAGGAGAGGGCAGGGTGCCACTGCCCCCTCTCCACCTGTGATTTCACTCTCGAGAACTAGTGTTCTTGGAAGGAAGGGTGAGCTCTGCTATTTAGTTGTTTTTTAAAATTATGTTGAAATATAACATAATATATACTGTTTTAATAATTTTCAAACGCACACGTTGGTGATAGTAAGAACATGGACATTTTTGTGCAACTGACATCACCATTAACTACGAAAACATAACCTTTGCAATCCATGCACTGTACCCGCTAAACGGCAAGTCCCCCGCACTCCTCTGCCCCTGCTCAGGGCAGCCACTAGTCTACGTACGGGCCGCATGAGCCGACAACCCCGGGTACCCCAAATGAGCAACAACACTAAACATGTCTGACCCGTTTCCTTTAGCAAAACGTGGTTGGGTGGCAATTGATTAATTAACAGTAACCACTCTCAGTCCTGACGGGTTATAATAAAATCAGTGCAAAGCCCATGTGCTACTTTGAGTGACGACATTTACCACATCCAAGTAAAATGTTATAAATCATAGTGCTATAGCACAAATTTAAAGTGCTCAGCAATTTCTCAGATGTTTCCTCATTATTACAATTTTTCAGTCGAATTTATTCAACGAAATAAAAAAAAATGCTTAACATTTCTACATTGGAAGCTCAGCAACACACACTATGCTCACAGACGTGTGTAGATCTGTATGTCCACTTACGTGTATCCAAGGGAACATCTGTTTAGCCAATCTCTTAATTTTATTTATTGATTTATCTATCATTACGATTTATTCACTTTGTAAACCCGCTGCAGTCCCCCCCCGCCAGGGCTTTCTATCTCTCTTCTGCCATAAGGATTCTGGCACTCTGCCCAAAGTTTGGGTATGAGTCTCAGTATCTCCTTCAATATCCTGGTGGATAGATTCTTTCAGAGGTCCTTTGTGGAAGGCTCCTGTCTTGTCCCTTGTCTTCTACTTCCGATGTCTATCCTATTTGCACTTCTGAATGAGGATTAAGCATCTTCCCTAGAGTCCTCTTTACTGTTTAGCTTCTTTAGGGTTATAGATTTTAGTATATTTATCCTATTTTATATGCTAATATCCTCTTATAAGTGAGTATATATCATTTGTGTCTTTCTGCTTCTGGGTTATCCCACTCAGGATGATCTTTCCTAGTTCCCACCATTCACTTGCAAATTTCATGATTTCCTTTTTTTTTTTTAAGCACAGAGTAAACTGTTTCTGGCAGGTAAGCAGCTAGCCTTTTGGAAGCTAACACAGTAACACTGACCTCAAAGTAAGGCAGTACCATGGCCTTGGCAACCCATAAAATCTGAGCCTTGCTGCGGGGCTGTTTACTGGAGATGTGCCTCCTTTCCTGCATCTTTTGTAGATGACACTACCTTTCAGTGTAGCAGGGCGGGGTGCTACTATAAAGATTCACTTTGAAAAGGAGTAACAGAGTCTCCAACCCAGGAGGAAAGACCTTCCCTTTTGACCTATCACACATGACATGCACACCTGTCAAGGGACTACGACCACTGCTTCAAGCTAATCGCTGCACCATTATCTTAACCTGACCAAGGGCAAAGAACGGCCAGCTCCATAGGAAGAAAGCCAGCATGTCGTGCTGTTTTCTGAGATATGTGTCCATGCGGTAAGTACAGGCTCTACATCTTCATGTATTTAATATTAAAGCAGATAGTTTCCCACCTTCACCATTTGCTCCTCTAACACACTTGAGTTAAAGCAGTGATTCTCAAAGTGAGGGCCTTGGAGCAACCACGTCGGTGTCACTGGAAACCGCTGGTAAAGCAGGTTGCTGGCTGGCACGAGATCTACTGGCTCAGAACTGCCTGTGTGATTCTGACAAGCTAAAGCTTAAGAACCGCCAAGCTAAAGACACAGTAACAATAGGGATTTCAGCCCCAGTTTCTCGCCTCATTTACAATTCTCAGAATGTTCTGTCGAGGGAAGGTAGCTCTTGTGTGTGTGTTTGGGTTATTGGTATTGTCACCTCATGTTCACCCTTGTTAAGTTAAAGAAAAGGAATCTCAGTAAAAACTTACAGATAATTTCCCCAGATCCTGTCCTGGCTTCGGGTCTTAGGATGCCGGGCACTGGGCAGAGGAAGAGATGAGAAGGCTACAGCAATCCATTCAGACATGGACCCCCCAGCTCGGCGAGGCAGCCTTGTGAGAGATCAGTGAGTGTCCACCTAGATGCAAAGGAAAAGTGCATTACCAGAGTGAGCGCTGCTTGTGTGACCCCAGCCTGCTGCTTCATACCCGCTTTCCAACCTATGGACGATCCAGTACCCCACCGTGCTTCTGGCATTCCTCTTGACTGGACCACAGGAACAGAGTAAGACAGATTCCCCAGGCACCAATAGCTGGGCTTTACTCCGGTGGAAGACCTCTTCTCCAGGTGCTTCCTGCCGACAAGCCTCCCTTCTCAGGCAGAGGTGGCTAATATCCCGTCGTCCCATTACGTCCTGTTCCATCTCGGAAGGTTTTCTTTAACAAATTCAAACGCCCCAGTTTACAGACCTATGTGGGTGTCCTAACCAGAAGGGATTATAACAAATGATTAACTTGTGAATTCTGACTGACAATGATGTCTTAAATGTGTCCATTTTCAAGTCAGTATGACTTGGCTGCCTTTAGCCCAACCGCAGATCCTTTATCTGGCTTTCATCTATAAAATTAGAAATATTTGTTTTCTCTTCCCTGATGATGAGCTGAAGTTTGTTGTAGAGCATATAAAAAAATAGGTAAGAACATAAGGAGGAAAATAATGACCAATGGTAAACTTGGCCAGTAGGTGACTACGGATGTTCTGCTGGTTAGGCCCACAGCCTCTTTGTGCACAATTCCTGGGGTTGGATACACTACACTGTTCAGATTTAGTTTTGCTTTGATGGGATAGGATGCAACTAGCACTATTTAGCCTTATATGTGTGCAACCCCTCTTATTATCTAAGTTAAGCACTCCACAGTTAAGGAAGTTCAATGTTTCTATGTAAAAATAGAGGTTTACTCATTAATTGGGACAAAATACGCCTCACATTAATTCAGACCAGGTTTTTCTACCAAAGAAGCGCTCTCTCTCTCTCTCTCTCTCTCTCTCTCACACACACACACACACACACACACAAACTCACACACAGAACTGTTGGATTTAAAATTGGATTGTGGACCAGTATTATTTTCAGATTCACAAACATACTTGGGAGATTTTTTTCATAATTTATTTAATTACTGAGCATTCCCCCAAGTTGCTACAGTTGTTAAAGCATACTTTTAACTATCTCTGTAATGGTATAATACTTCAAATGTGGAGTTATCAGTTGTAGTCCTTCATTATCAGTGGACATGACACCAAAAAGCCACCTGAGTATCAGGCCACCTCACTTTCTGACCATTCTTTGGGACCCTAGAAAAACGATTACCAGATAGATGATGTGATGTCAAGGGTGTCTGACAAGTTTTTTTTCTTTACTTTTTTTGAGGTTTTATATATTATTATTTTATATATATAAATGTTTGCTTGAATGTCCATGTGCATAAAGCCCACTGTGTGGATTGCCTGTGGAAGCCAAAAGATGGTGTCAGATCCTGAGACTGAATTACAGATGGTTGTGAGCCAGGAAGTAGGTGCTGAGAGCTAAACATGGGTCCTTTGGAGGCACAGCCAGTACTCTTTTCCCTAAAATATTATTAATTTTTTTGAGATTATAATTTAATTAGAACATTTCTTTCTTCTCGTTCCTCCCTCCAAGCCCTCCCACATACCCCTCGAAAATCTCCTTTAGGTTCATGGCCACATTTGTTCCCCTAAATGTGACTGCATGTGTACACATGTATGTCTATGCATACGTGTTCCTAGCTCCAACCTGTTCAGTCTGTCTAATGCTACCTTTATTTATGTTTTCAGGGTTGTCCATTTGCCACGGGGAACCAGCTGGTGTGCTCTTCCCTGGGGAGGACCAGCTCTCCTGCCCCCAATGTTTCTGCAATGGAACAACTTTAGCTTTATCTATAAACTCGACTCCTTGTCCAGCACTTACAATAACATGGCTAAGATTTGAGAAGTCGGGGTGTGAGTACTTTCAATTTTATTCTGAGAGTGAACTAAATTCATCTCTTCCAGCAATCTTACATAAAAGTTTTAGTTGTCCTATTAAAAAAAAACCCTGAAAGAACAAAGATCTATTAGAAGTGGACTATTTGTTCACTGTGGTTTCCTTTATAATTTGGGAAGCTTGCTCCAGATACTCAGGAGCCTAGGTGGGTGCATGGCTTAGAAAAGGTTTTCGTTTGACATGATCAGGTACATAGTTAATTCTGTGAGTTCCCCAAGCTTGTAGGGTACAAAATATGAACTGCAGAGGAAATGCTCCTCAAAGAGCAGACTTTGTTTCTCCTAATTGCTTAGGGACGGAGAGGGAATAAAAAACAAAATTGCCACTAGTAGCAGGAACACTTAGCAGAAGCTCTTCAGATGCTGAAACTGTACAACTAGCATTTGCAAACCTAATTACAAATCTGGATTCTCTCATTTTAAAAATATACTTCAAAGCCGTCCATGCTGAACCAAAGTCTGTGCAACTGGCAGATTATCAAAGTGTAAAAAAAAAAAAAAATGCATTGCTTGGGTAAAGCAATAACTTTCAATATCGCTAACTCCTGAACTGCAAAATGCCACAGGCCAAAAACTAGCAATGCCACATGGCTCTATTACCGTACATGTACAAGAGTTCCTAGTTCCTAAGTCCTGAGAGACAGCGCTCTGTGTCACAGTGTCTCTGCTATGCGGGCAGGTGCTCTGCCTCTGAGCCTACCACTTCACACAGGTTCTATTTAGGATTAAATGAGGTGGAAAATCCATATGTACATATGTGAATATATATATATACATATATATGTGGGTTTTTAGTTTTGCAAATTATAAGACCTACAGTTAATGTTAAAATCACAATCTTGCCTTTTATTAACATTGTTGGCAGGTATATGATATCAATCCCCATTTTACATCGAAGGAAAAACACATGAAGAGATAGCCAATAAATAAGTGAATATATACATATGTGCATACATACATACATACCAGATTAAGTGTTGTATTTCTCAGTTGGCCACAAACTAACTGAGTGAATCTCTGGGTCTTGATTTCTTGGGGACATGAAATGATTCTTTTTTTTTTCTTTGTGACAATATTTTATTTAATTTTTTCTTCATCAACTTATTTGTTCATTTCACATCCTAATCATAACCTCACTCCTCCTCCCCTCCCACTCCCACCTTCCTACCCACTTCCCCCATGCCCCTTCCCATGAAATGACTTTTAAGGTCTTCTTGAGGCTGATGGTTCTGTCATTTGGTACATGGCCATAACAGTGATACATGAGTCTTTGAAATGATGCTTAGAAAGCAGCCCCTCCTCAGACTCAAGGCACCAAGAAACCAAAAGCACCCGCCACCAATCTGAGGACCACAGTGGTGGGGCAGCAGCCTGAGGGCCCCGTTACCTTCTAGGATGGGACAGACACTAGCTTACTCATTTTGCTTGGGCTGAATACGGGACTAGGCACCTTAGGGAAATGGCCAGTGCCTCTAAATCCTCAGAAGACAGTGGAGAGCCTAGAATACTGAGTTTTTTGTTAACTCAGACACTTTACCACTTTAACAGCTGCTTTAGCCAAACAAACTGATATGGCCGAATGGTGTCTTGCTCGCCGCAATCTGATTGCTCTTTGCCTACCAGTCTCAAGCAGATACGGTAAAGAGGCCTTTTGTGTTACGTATATGCTAGGGTCATAAATGACGTTCTTAAAAGTCCTGGGGCCACTACTTTAGGTCTCTATGAAAATGGAAACCTCAGCATTTGCACAGGACAACAAGCAGCCTCAGTGTGGCTACCAGGTACCTGGAGTCTAGCTGGTAAGAATGGAGGGCTGGTCTTAAATTAAGTTAAATTTAAATAGCCAAATGTAGATAGTCAACAGATATAGGACACTTCTTTTTTTTTGGAGATCTTTCAGGCCCCATGACCCACAGGATAGCATGTAATGCCTAAATTCAGCCAGGAAGCTCTGTAAACTGTTCTCGTCTCTCAAGACTAGAGAACCATAAAGGCTTCATTCCTTAATGGCAATTTCTAACTAGACTGATATCTGAGGACCTCACACATGAGGTGGCTCGCTGGACAGCTCTTAGGAAAAGGTGGGTGACGTGCTACGGTACAGCTATACCAAGCATGACAGCAGTCCTTTTTCATTTCTTCTTATTTACTGTTAAGAGAACCCGGGGAAGTTCAGAAGTAGAGATGTGAATGGTTTCTAGTCATTCATTTCCAAACAAAGTAGCATACTGCAAATGTGGGAAATTATCTGTACATAATTCCCTCTTGCATAATCTAAAATTTACTTAAAAGAAAGAGTCCTCAGGACCTGCATTCTTAAGGTAGGAAAAGTAAATGGTTTTTAATTACATAAACAGTCATAAAAATGTTCAAGTGGGTCTCCAGCTGTAAACAGTGGGCAAGGGAACATTTGTACCAATTAGCTGTGAAACGATTTGGTTTTCTGGAAAGTTGTATAGGTGAGGCTGATTGCATTCTTTATCCCCGACAGCTCAACTCTTAGCTAAGACGCTCTTAGTGGGTTTAATAGGAGGCGATGAGCTACTTTTCCCAGCAGAGTACAGGTGGAGGCACCTTCACCCACACCATGGATCTCACACCAGCAGAATCACTTCTTTGAAGCAGAAAGGTAGCTCAGGGCTTGTCTCACTTTCCGCATCACTCCTCTGGCATCCTCCTAGCGTTAATTGCTAATTGCTTCTGCCCACCTTCAAGGGATGCAGGGTAACACAAAGAGCAGAAAATAAAGTATTCAGTACGTCGGAACACGTTCGTGCTGAGCCTGAACACACACTGGCTAACCAGCAAGCATAGTGGCACCATGCTATGGGAATAAGTTTTCAGGCGCATTCGCTCCCCTTCATCAATGTTATCTTAGAAAGTGAAAGACTCGCTACCTAAAACAGCAGGAGTTTCCTCAGCAGGGACACTACATGGAAGATTATAGTTGGCCAAGGTGAGTTTTCTGGTTTCAGGATACCACTTCTGTCCAAAATCAGTCTACTGATTTGTTTTTTTTTTTTTTTTTTTTTTTTTTTAGGGCTAATATCAGTATCAACCCGCATGTACACAGGA